CACTAACAAACTCAATAGCTTCACCGAACATTCTTAAAAGATGGCAAAGAATTAAAGTCAAAAGTAACTGAGGAAATAACCAAGGCCTCAACCCAAAGTTGGACATCACACTGACAAACTCAATAGGTTCACCGAGCATTCTTAAAAGATGGCAAAGAATTAAAGTCAAAAGTAACTGACAAAATAACCAAGGCCTGAACCCAAAGTTGGACATCACACTAACAAACTCAATAGCTTCACCGAACATTCTTAAAAGATGGCAAAGAATTAAAGTCAAAAGTAACTGACGAAATAACCAAGGCTTGAACCCAAAGTTGGACATCACACTGACAAACTCAATAGCTTCACCGAACATTCTTAAAAGATGGCAAAGAATTAAAGTCAAAAGTAACTGACGAAATAACCAAGGCTTGAACCCTAAGTTGGACTTGACACTAACTCAATAGCTTCACCGAGCATTCTTAACAGATGGTAAAGAATTAGAGACAAAAGTAACTGGCGAAATAAACATGGCTCTAGTTTTGCTAGTATTCAACTTGAAGTTGTTAGACTCAAAACATAGAGTAATGCGATCCAAACGCTTATTAATACACTTTAGCTTACAGGAATTAAAAAAGTGACTCACTTTTCAAAACAATTCCTTTATATAATTTATTCTTAATTCTTTTTTCTTTTTGTCAATTTCCTAATATCTTCCTGCTGTCTACGTTTCAAATATTATATATTGTGAAACCTATAGAATCCATATATTCATTTAATTATTTAATTGAAAATCTTTACAATTTATGTATGACGCACATCCGCTGAAATTTTTTTTTTTTTTTCACTTATTAAATTTTGTTTTTTTCTATTTCCTTTACAGCAGACGCCTTTAATGTTTTCTTTAAAAAAAAATTATTCAAATGAGCCAACTGTCAACCAAAATATTCTTGATATTATCGTAACGGGTAAGTCAAAGTTAAACTATAATTATTATTAAAATGCTCGTAAGTCTTGAAGATGAAATTACAAGAAAAATTCATTTTCATCTGCATTTCCTTTTACGCCTATACTATTAAATTATGTATGTATACATACATATTTATATATATATATATATATATATATATATATATATATATATATGAAAAGAAAATCTTAAGTAACAAACCTCATTTATACGTTTACTTCTGGGTTATTATGCTGATACGTGACTTATTTTTCTATTATCTTTTGCAATTTATATTATTTTTACATATTCCTTTATTATTATTTTATTAATTTTATGGAAAACAAACGCGTCTTTTACACAATCATATGATTTCATTTATTTCATTATTTTCTTTTGTATAAACAAAAAAAATAAATAAATAAATAAAAAACGGCCCATAAGGCCTCAATTATCGAAAGGCCAAAAAGGTGATGATTTGCATCACCTTAACTTCTACAAAAGCACGTCAATGCGCATGAACATGGATAGCTAGCTAGGAAAGCAAAAACGAAGAAAAAAAGAGTAGCCAGTCGAACCGCGCACCTGATCATTTTATGTAAGCGTTTCTTACCTTCTCTTCGTCTTGTCAGCCGTTTCGTTTTTTTTTCCCCCCCCTTTTTTCTGTGTTTCTTTCTTTTCACAATCGTGATTTGATTATTAGTTAAGAAGAATCGAAAGGAAATCGTATTGAATCGTCTACAAATATTTGCTTAAATTAAAAATCAATCAATAATTTTTGTTTGAATTGAACGATTGCTCGGATGATAAATGAAAAAGCAATTCGAATACGTATTCATCATTTCAGGCGGATACTCGCAAACTGGTTATATGTAATTTTGTCTCCTACGAAAGGCTCTAAGCAGTGATTTGTATGCTTTTACTTGAGCTTCTCAAACTAAGTTCGACAACAAACGTGATTTGCTCTTCAATCTCTTCCCGTATCACTCGAAGAAATTAAATCTCGAGGACACGGTTATATCTGTAAAGGCTTAGTTTGATTCGGCGAATCAATGTAACCCGCTTACGAACAAGCCAACTCACCAAACCTATAAAGCTAAAACTTTGTTGATCCTATTATGTTTTCTAACAGTTTTAGAGTCTTTTCGAAACCATTATACCGTTTCATAAATCATCCGTAAACCCTAGAGTAGGTGAAAGTAATTTGAAAAATGGTTTTTTGAATGATTTTTTTATTCTACAAGACTAAGCAAAAAGGTTTTCTGAAAGAAGACGGCTGTGGAGTTACCAAAGAATTAGCCAAAAGACAAGTGCTGACTATTTGGTCGAATTTGATGAGGGTCGCTTGCAATCTTCCAAACTAGTTTAATTGTTTAAGGAAATGGCTTGTAATGCGATACCAGTGTCCCATCAAATGAACATAGAGGTTAGCTGTCTCATGAACTTAGCAAACGCCGGCCGACATTTAGTTCCATATATTTTATATGCTTCCTATAAAGAGATGAAATGTCATTCATACTACATTGACATTGAAGCAGAGTAAACGATTGATTACTCTCGGGTCCATTAGTAAATAGCTTCACTTTAGAAAAACTCTAATCTGTAACTTTGAGGAGAAAGAGCTGGGACACTGAAAAATCCCCACGCATATAAATATAGACTCTGGTAAAGTCAACTACTTAGTTGACGAGGTTCATTCGAAAAGCATTAAGTTCTTTCCCACAAATACACGCGCCACACTAATCTTAAATTCTGCATCAAGCCAGTTTCTCAAAGTCCATCCCAAAGATGTCTAAAGCGCAGTTCACACTTCCACAAATCCAAAGCGAGATCGTCGCAATTCCGATCGGTTGCGATGAATTTCTCAAATCTATATTTTTTACATTTTGCCTCAACAACTCTTAATACTTATTGTAGCTTCTCACTCTCTTGAACTTGCTTATGGAAAGATTCTTGCAAATATTTTCTTAAATTACTTACATAACAGAGAAAACCAACAACAACAACAATAATAATAATGATAATAATATAAATAATAACAGTAGTGACAACAACCTTTTTCTGTGCATGTGTAAGTGTATAGCTGAGAGAAAAACAGAAAATAAAACAAATTTACCAAATTTGGTTTAAAATGTTGTTTGCTTTAGTTCCCTGTAAATAAGACACAAAAACTACGCAACAATGTAACAACTAAACGGGCTTACATCAATAATCGTTCAATACATGGCAACGCAAAAAAAAAAAAAAAAAAAACACCAAACGTAGTGAAAAAAAAAATAAAAAACCAAAACATTGGTCAAAATTTCCAACCGTTCGGTCAATTTTTTTTTTTTTTTTTTTTTTTATTTATTTTCTTTTCTTTTTTTTTTTCTATTTTAATTTTTGCACAGCAAAAAGAGCAAAAACAACAATCGCTAACCGATGATCGCAAAACAAGTCATTGTAGTAGGTAGTAATGTATTTATCGCTGTGCGCATGTAACACTGTGTGTGTGTGTGTGTGTGTGTGTGTGTGTGTGTGTGTGTTGGGCACAACTCTCTAATGTTGAGGAAAAGAAAAAGATTTAATAACATTTGAAAAGATAGTAAAACAGCGAAAAAAACGTTAAAAAGACATTCAGTTAAAGGTTTACTTACTTCTCTTTTGTTTACAATCGAGTTGAATATTTTCTTGCGAATTCTATTACTAACAACGACGACGACGACGACAACGACGACAACGACGACGGCAACTATATGTGCGCGTGCTTGATAGTGTTTGACCACAAATGGAGTTATCAAACCAAAAACGTCTTCATTGTACATACACATAAATGTTCATCTACATGCAAGAGAGCATATATAAAAACAAACCCACGTCAGGAATTTTCTAAATTATGTTTTATAATGATTTTCTAAAGCAGAAGAAAAGAAAAATGCATTTCATAGAATGAAAAAGAAATTATATTCGGCTAAGGACGAATCTTTTAATACCCGTTAACAGCGCTATATAGAATTTATACGCAATAATATCCATTATCATGTTATGTCAATCGTATGTCGTCTCATATATATATATATATATTTTAACGAAAAATTTAACTTTAACTTTAGCTTTAAGTCTTACAAGTCTTATGAATGAAATGTTTAACGATTTTAGTTAAACTCGTGAACCGGTTTCCTACAACTGACCGATCAAACTAGTAAGAAAAATTTATGTCCTACATAAAGTCTTTGGATCGTTATCGCAATTTCAACAGATGATCGAATAACACGTCGACAGGCAGTCTTAGATTTTTACATCGAAATCGTTATTCATCTTAATTAAATATATTCGAACTATATTCCCAAGCATATACGTGGCAAGCTAGAACACCGCCTATTGCGAATATGAAAGGTAACAATTTTGCTTCTTTGGCCTGAGTTCCAATGCTTTGAAAGTTTCCATAGTTGTCCTATATATGATTTCGGAATCATAGAGAGATGTGATGAGTTTGTTTTATCGTTTATCAAATACAAAATAATAAATAATTATTTATATATATATTATATAATAAATTATAACTTATAAATAAAAAATAAAAATAAATATGTAAAAAATAATAATTTATTAATAGTAAATAATAGGTAATAAATAATGAGTTGTAAATACTAGGTGCTTGCATGTATTTTGATCAGCGATATTTATTGGTGAAAATGGTAAAGTAATGCGAAGTCGTGTACACGACCATTAAGCTACACGACTTTGACTCTCCTCTACATAAAATGATAGTTTCCAATTTAGTATTATTGAGTTACACAGTATCCATAGGCACTAATCATGGAACGCCAAAAATTGCATTTTCGTTATTCACTACTTTTGTTGTTTGGTTTGAAGAAATCTCCTGTCGACACCCCTCAAAAACTTTTAAAAGCCTATAGTGATGCTGCTCCATCATATCTTAATTATCGGTTTTTGGCTTCAACGGTTTAAAAATGGTGAGTTTGACGTCCAAGAACAGCATCATGATTCAAAAAGCTTTGACGACAACAACAAACGAAACAACTCAAGCCCTCATAGGACTTTCAAACAACTTAACAGATAATGAATCAATTCTTTTCAGACGGGGATGAGACAGATGTAAAACGAGAGAAAATGGCTACCATGCGAATTGACTGAAAATGGTATATGGAACCGTTTTCACGTCGCGGTTTCATTGGCTGGCAGGCAAAAAAGAAAAGTTTTTTATGGGAAAAAGTTTATATGGGTTAGTTCAGGGGAGCCATCACAACGACGACAAAGCGGAATATTTATCGCCATAAATTTTACGTGTGTATAGTGGAATCACGAGATAGGTATAGTGTATTACGAGATACTAAAACCGAACGAAACTGTTGCTGCAGATTTCCAGCGATAGCGGTTAACAGACCACAAGGCATTCTCTTGCATGACAACGCTCGGCCACAGGGATACACTCGAATAGGAGTTGTCGGTGTCGAATTCAGCGCGCCGCCCTGGCATAGATTACCACTTGTTCAGATTGTTCCCGCATGACTTGGCCGGTCCGCGGTTTCGAAATGCTGAAAAATTACGATGATTGCATCGTTGCCAAAACAATATGGTCCTTTGGACCCGCTATAGCCATTTTGCCAGAAAGATTGGAACAAGTTGTAGGAAATGGTGGAAAGCATTTTGCGTGATGTATTGACGATTTTACCAGTTTTTCTCAACAAATGCCTTTTTCAAGTGAAAAAATAATCAAAATATATACAAGCGCCAAATAATAAATGAAAAAGAAGCAACAAACAGTAAATAATAAATAATAATTTATAAATAATGGCTGATAAATAATAAACAATAAACAGTAAATAAATAAAAAATTATTAATTACAAATTAATAAATAATAATTTATAAATAATGAATAATACATAACAATAATAGTAATAGAAAATAAATAATAATAAATTGATAACTAATAAATAATTAATAATAAATATGTGTTAAATGATAAAAAAAAGTTTAGAAAAATACAATCCATCCCTCAGAAGTAAAGTTAGTTA